CTTAGTTTTCGAATAAAAAATTTTATTCTTCCCATTTTCCTCCTCCGTTAATTTGGATACAATCAAAATTTTACACAGTTTTTCCTCTATTAGCTGGATAAGTTCGGCGAAAACCATCGACATTGTCGGTTGAGCCATGCCAAGGTTGAAGTCATTGCAATGGGACTTTTGAAAACTTCCCTCCACAAACAACATCAGAGCTGCACACATTTTTAACAGAGGAGGAATTGCTGTTGACCGCCAGGGTTTTCGGAAATCAGGGTTTAAGGCTTCATCTATGTACACAACGGCATCTTTTGGTAGTCGAAAATACGCCTTCAAGCTAATATTAGCAGTTGATTGAACATTTCTCTAAACGTCAGCATCTACTCACAGGACTGATGGTAGTTCTAATAGATTTATTTCTTAAATGACAAACCTTGAACATAATTTTCATCATCAAAAAATAGTTCCACTGAACTTATCATCACATATAATTAGTTTTTCTGAAATATTTTATTCATTTTTTTGTTTGTTTACAATATTTCTAGTTGTAGAAATGTCAAAACAGTATTATCGACAGCAACTGAGAAAAGTTGATATTCATAATGTTAAGTTTTATTTCAATTGAGTTGCCAGTTGAATTCGCAACTGGAGTTTGGTTGCTTTCCATAATCGACCCATTAATGAAAATTACCGGCAATGTGCCATAGACAGCCGAGAATAACAAGTTCAGTAGCAGAGGCATACAGTTTCCAGTGACCATTGTGTGACGTTGCGTGTGTGTGTAAAATGTGGGTGGGTAATCAAGTTATGCTCGGTCTAGTGAAGAAGGTAAGAATTTAAACATTACAACGCTATCTGAAACGATATTAAAAATATATTTTTAAGGTTCAACCGAATGCGAATTTTTAAGCCATTTTTTGTATCCTTCACAACACTGTGGTACAGTAGGGGTGTATTTGTACATATGCAATTATGCAAAAGGAAACGAGATGAAGCCATAGTTACTTTTGAGGATATGGATAGATAGAATCACGTTGTGAGTCGATTTATGCATGTCCGTCCGCCATGTTGCTGTAACATTTTAAACAAAGTACATGTTGCATTTATGATCCGAATTGGATGAAATTTTGATACCGCAAATTTGTTTCGCCCAAGGACATAGGATATAGCTCCCACATCTATTTTCGTTCGATTTTATGTAAATGTTCGTCCGATTGAGACGAAATTTTGCATTGCGTGGCGAATTGAATCTAGAATGTTGTGTGTAAACTTTCATTAAAATCGGTTCAGAATTAGATATAGCTCCCATAACTATTTTCGTTCGATTTTCTGTAAATAGTTCACGAACGACCTTACGTGTGTCCGATTGAGATGGAATGTGAACAGTGTACCGTATTGAGAATTGAATAATGTATATTTTATTTTATCGAAATTGGTTCGGATTTAGATAAAGCACATTGGAATATTTCATATTAAACCCCACACAACTATGTTGTCAGGGTATTATAGCTTTGTGCAGCCCCAAGAGTTTGTAATGAAATATTGGTCTTGGTCCCACCTTTAAGTATACCGATCGTCATATCTCGACTAGCCGAGTCGATCTAGACATGTGTGTCCGTCCGTCCGTCTGTCCATTGTAATTTTTAAACACGATACAGGCTACAGTTATGGAGGAAAGTTTGCATGTTGGATGGGTTCTGGCCAAGACCCCTATTGTTTTTGGTAAGGATCGGTTAATATTTAGGGGATGAAATGGACCAACAACTTTTTTCTGGTCGCTCCAGACGCCGCTATTATGGTACAAACATCACGAATTTTTACATGGAGAAAGAAAACGGGCTAAAGAATAAGCATGCCTGTTTTGATAAAGATGGTTAATATTTAGCGGGTCAAATGAACCCTGACTTTTGTGTGAAAATGTATTTTTCCCTGAATGGCCTAGACCCGAGAAGTTTATTGTATATCCAAGAGGAGTGGTTGACCTTTAAATTGATACCAATTATATTGTCCTATGTACTCGGATTTAGGAATTACACTTTAATATTTACAGGTGCTTACGTATTCAGACACTTTTTAGTAACCCATTATTTTTTTAAAGAATATTTTTTCAAGAAATATCCAGGCGTGACTTTTTAAAAGAATATTTTTTTTTAAGAAATATCCAGGCTTAATTTTTTTAAAGAATTGTCGTTGTTTTTTAAATATTTATTATGAATTATGGAAGCGTGAATTTTTAACAAATAGGTATTTTCACGAACTATGCATGCGTCTATTTTTAAAAGAATATGGTTTAAGAAATATCCAGACGTGTTTTTTTAAGAATTTTTTTTCAAGAAATATCCATGCATGATTTTTTTAAAGAATATTGCTTTAAAGATCATTTGAAGGGGACCTTAAAAATATACTACAGTCTTAATACCTTAAAAGTGTTTTAATAATGATAGGACCTATCATTATTAAACTGAACTTTGGATAAAAGTCCTTTAAAAAGACATGTTCTAGAAGAGCTAAAATCCGCATTATTAACAAAATTATTTCCTTACAGGACCTCCAAAATATTCCTTTGTAGTTTTATCCCTAAAAAATATTGTTCAAAAATATTATATTTTTTATTTTATTAAAAAAAAAACAAAAAAATTTAAATGAAGAATATTTAAAAAATCAGAAATTTTAATATTGTATGTATATGTATATGTATTCTCAAAATAACTTTTTAAAATGTTTACACTTCAACAAATTTTTTATTTAAAAAATCATAACTTCTGCTGAGGTTTTAACGGAAATACAATTAAGTGACACCAATATGGCATCACATCATGTATTTCTCTTCAACTAAACCCCATTGAAGAGAAATAATTGTGCTGTCTCCTTTTCTCCTTATATCTAACTGGGCTCTCTGTTTACATTTTTGTCCTGCATTTCCTTGTTATTGTTGCATTAACACGTTTTCCATATCTTTTTTGGTGTTGGTTGGAGACACCTGTACCGCTCTCGTTCTTTGGTTCTCTCTCACTCACACCCTAAATCTCTTCAAATTGCAATGGTGCAATGTGATGGAGCTTTAGTTTAGCTTTTCAGTTTGTGCGTGTTTGTTGGTGTCACACAAGAAAGGGGATGAAGTTCTCTTGTTGTTGTTATTAAATATGTAAAATTGTTGCTATTGCCTGGCTACCGTCCACGACCACTACTGTTGTTGGCTTATTTAGTACAAGTGTTCCATTATAAAAGAATGAAACAAAAAAAAAAAAAAAAAACAACTGCAGAAAATAGGAGACAAGGAAGAGAATGTGGGTTATGAGTAGAAACAATGCAATCTAAAGAGGAAAAAAGGAAGAGCGAGAGACCACGCAAATTGAAATAAATGTCAAAATGAATTTTTAATGCAGTTTCCATTGAATATTGTGCGAAGATTGTTAAATGCGACAAGAGACAGGCAGCAAAGTGGACAAATGTGTTTTATTTTTCCAATTAAAAAGGATTGTTCAATGCAGAAGGATAATACATAAAATAATAAAATATTAATAAAAAAGTGTTAAAATAAATAAAAATCGATTAATAATTGTAAAGATAATCTAAAAAAAAGATAACGAAAAATGTAAAGGAATTAAATGCCTACAACATGATTGCTAAAGAAGTGTGAATAAAGTAATTAAACTATTTCGAATGTCTTAAAGTGAAATATTTCCCGGAAAATCCTTAAAAAAATTCTTAAAAAATATAAAAAGTCTTTTGTGCGTTTGTGAAATATCAATAATTTTAATCGGAAAAAATAAATAGAAACAAGAATAAGCAGGACAAAAGTGTTGCAAAAGGAATAAAAAATAGTTCGGCTCATTTCCATTCGAGAAGAACTAGAAAAAAGCTGCATTTCCTTGTGCGGCTGTCGGCATGTGAGTGCCAGTGTGTGTGTGTCACTCTCTGCCTGCCTACGATCTAATATCCTGCACAAAAAAATAAATAACGGTAAATAAAGTGAAACCCGGCAAAGCCATATGCCAACAAACCAACAACAGTGACAAGGAAGAACAAAACAGAGCAAAGAGAGTCTTGACAACAGCAACAAACATTTGCCAAAAACAAGCAAGCAAGCACTCGTTTGTCGTTGTAGTCTGATGCCGAATGGGGGCTTTACGACCGGTCAAAACACAGCACACAAACAGAAACAATAACAACAAAGCAACTGCCACAAGAGTAGAGTAGGCCAAGCAACAAAACAGAAAAAAGCAAAACCGTATGAAGTTTTATAACGGTGCATACAACAGGATGGCGATGGTGATGATAATGTTGACAGGAAAGATAACAACAACTGCACAACTGAAATGAGAGGAGTTAAAGGGAAGAGAACACAATCAAGAGAACCAACATTATTACCAACACCAACCAGCCGACCAACAAGAGAGTGAGATGTAGGGAAATCCCTATTGAAAAATAATAATAATAAAAAAACACAAAGTGGTGCATGCCAAAGCAAACGAAAGGAAGAAACGACGAAAGCTTTTCGTTCTCCACATTAAAGTGCAATATACGGATTTACTAAAAAAAATAACTGATATGATAAATGCGGTCATATTAAAGTTTTTCATGCCCAAACATGGTGACAGTGAGAAATAGTGGAAAAAAATTAAAATTTAAGATTAACAAATAAAAAACCGGTTAATAATCAAATACAAAAAAATGTTTGGAAATTGTGAAACATAAAAATTAAAATTTATTAAAAACCAAAAAAGAAAAACAAAATTAATTACTAAATATATAATATACAAACGTGAGCATTGGTAACAAAAAAAAAAAAAAAAAAAAAAATCACAAAGTGAAAATATCTACCTACTTCGTGCGGTGTTCCACTTTTTAAAGCGTTCGTCAAACATCAACTAATTTATCTATGACCAAGTGACAGATTAATTTTTTTTCTAATTAAAAATTAAAACCCATCAAGAGACATCAGCATCAGTTTAAATGTATATTATTTGTTTAATGGTGTTAAGACCCGCCCCACCGAGGGCTGGCATCAATCCATGGAGTATCCGGGAACTCCGTTAATTGATGAAAATTGTGAAAGTATTCTAATTGGGTATGTAGGGAATGAAATATTTCATAAAAATAAAAATAATTATTAAAAATTTTAGGCAAAGCTTATTGATTATCCTCTCAAAAAAAAAAAAAAAAAATCAAGCTTGAATATGTTTCCAAAAAGTGACACTGCAACAATAAATTTTATAAGAAATTGACAAATATGGACTTAAAAAATATTAAGAGATTGCCTAAATGAATTTTTCCTAAGAAATTTACAAGCGTGGATGCATTCAAAAATATTTTTGTAAAAAAAAAAATTATCTGAAATTTACAAACGTGGATGTTTTGAAAAATATTAATTATAAAATTTACAAGAATGGACTTAAAAACCAGTATGGCAAGTAGTAAAGTCAGATTGGGCCTACGATATGATACCCTTCACCACTTTGGGTATATTGTACATATGTGTCCTTACAATTGTATGTCAATGTATGTCGAAGGAACATACTCATGCCTTTCTACAACCTATGATAATTATAATTTCATTCGGCCAGATTTAGAGTCGTCTGCGTACCAGGGACAAATTTATGGAAAACGATTTATAGTAAAATTGATACACGCTATTGGGTACGTCGCACTGTTAAAATAATTAATCTCAATCAGACGCCCGTTCGAAATACATATCGAAGCCACGGCTGCATCTGCATAAATTTCAACGAAACCTAATAACGCCATTCAAGTCTCAATTTGATATGTTGTGCAAAATTTCGTGTTAATCGGCCAAAAATTAGGAGTTTATTTACGTAAATCGGACAAAAATATATATGGGAGCTATATCTAAATCTTAACGGATCTTCACGAAACTTATCACACATCATTCTAGACTCAATTCCGTACGCTATGAAAAATTTCGGGCAAATCGAAAGATATATAGGGACGTTGGTGCACCATTTGTCTTAAATCGGACGAAAATATATATCGGAGCTATATCTAAATCTGAACCGATTTTCACGAAACTTAACACACATCATTCTAGGTCTAACTTTGGGTCTTTGGTGCACCTTTTACTTAAAATCTGACGAAACTATATATAGAAACTATATCTAAATCTGGACCGATTTTCACGAAACTTGGCAGACATCATTTTAGGCTCAATTCAGTACGTTATACCAAATTTGGTGCAAATCCAAGGATATATATCGGTGCACCATTTGTCTCAAATCGGACGAAAATATATATGGGAGCTATTTCTAAATCTGAACCGATTTTCACGAAACGTAACACACATCATTCTAGATCTAATTCATTACGCTATGCCAAATTTCGTGCCAATCGAAAGATATGTAGGGACTTTGGTGCATCATTTACATAAAATCGGGCGAAAATATATATGGGAGCTATATCTATATCTGGACCGATTTTCACGAAACACGGCAGACATCATTCTAGACCTAATTTATTACGCTATGCCAAATTTCGTGCAAATCGAAAGATATTTAGGGACTTTGGTGCACCATTTACCTTAAATCGGAAGAAAATATATATGGGGGCTATATCTAAATCTGGACCGATTTTCACGAAACTTGGCAGACATCATTCTAGGCTCAATTCAGTACGTTATGCCAAATTTCGTGCAAATCGAAAGATATATGTGGACATTGGTGTAGCATTTACATAAAATCGGACGAAAATATATTTGGGAGCTATATGTAAATCTTGACCGATTTTCATGAAACTTAGCACACGTCATTCTAGACTTAATTCAGTACGTTATGTCAAATTTCGAAAATCGAAAGATATTTAGGGACTTTGGTGCATCATTTACCTTAAATCGGACGAAAATATATATGGGAGCTATATCTAAATCTCAACCGATTTTCACGAAACTTGGCACACATCATTCTGGACTAAATTCAGTACGCTATGCCAAATTTCATGCAAATCGAAAGATATATGTGGAGTTTGGTGCACCATTTACATAAAATCGGACGAAAATATATATGAGAGTTATATCTAAATCTTGACCGATTTTTATGAAACTTCACAGACATCACTCTAGGCTCAATTCAGTACGTTATGCCAAATTTCGTGCAAATCGAAAGATATATGTGGACTTTGGTGTACCATTTACATCAAATCGGACGAAAATATATATGGGAGCAGTATGTAATTCTGGACCGATTTTCTCGAAACTTGACAGACATCTCAATTCAGTACGTTATGCCAAATTTCGTGCAAATCGAAAGATATATGTGGACTTTGGTGTGCCATTTACATAAAATCGGTCGAAAATATATATAGGACTATATCTAAATCTGAACCAATTTTTTCCAATTTCAATAGGGTTCATCCTTGGGCCAAACAAATGAGCTGTGCCAAATTTCATCAAAATCGGATTATAAATGCGACCTGTACTTTGTTTATAATTTAACACCAACAGACGGACAGACGAACGGACGGACATGCATAAATCGACTCAGAAAGTGATTCTATGCATATTCTCAAAGGGAACTATGGGTCTATCTCGTTTTCTTTTGCCTGTTACAAACATATGCACAAAGACATAATACCCTGTACCACAGTGTGGTATAAACCCTTGTCTTTTTGAGTTTCTCGAAAAATATATATATTTCGTTTAATTCTACGCCTCTTGGTATACTCGATTTTTTTAATCTACGCGCATTGGTATACTTAAAGAAAAATATTTAAAAAAATCCACGCCTATGTCTGCTATTCGAAAAATAAATATTCCGCTCCTATGGCGGCTACTTGGATTAATATTTTTAAAAATTTCACGACATAAGAAAAACATTTGTTTTAAAAAGTTTTTTTTAAATAGTTTTCACGTATCGCTTTTTAAACACATTTTTATCTTTAATTAATAATTCTCTTTTATTTCCAGTGACAACAACAATAACAATTGTGACAACAGTGAATCCTCGTCCTTGGCAACGTATTTATATCCCGATTTTGGTATTGTTGATGAAATAGACAAAGGATTGGGTGAATTATCCACATCAGTGTTTGGACAGTCCCAGGACATTGAAACTGTAACATCTATTGCATTAGCGGCAGCGGCAGCAACAGCTACAACAACTATACCAACAACAAACGCAGCTGCAGCAGCATCCAGTGCAGCTGCCGCCGCTCAAACAAACAGAATATCATCATCATTGTCATTAGCATCATCCTCATCTTCATCGCCATCAACAGCAGCATCGTCATCTTCATCGTCATCATCGGCGTCGTCATCCTCATCGTCATCAACATCATCGCAGATATCATCGCCATCGTTAACACCACCCACTCCCATCAGTTTACCGGAGCAGTCACAAAGTCCAGATGGTCGGACATCAATAAGTTCGACAGCAGCATCGCCAGCATCGAGTGATACAACGGCAGTAATTCTAACAGGTAAGTCCAGCACCTCTCTCACTCTTTATCTTCTTCTGTGCTCCTTACTGAACAATGGATATCCCTCCATTGGGAATGATTATAAATTACATTTGGGATTGTTGTAGTGTTTTTTCTCACTTCTCGAAAATTCATGACCCAGGAAATGGTCATACATCTATCCTGACCAGTCATCCAAAAGATATTGCTCTGCTTGTTTAGATACCGTGATGAGTGGTGTGGGTTTTCACACCACACACAGATGTCTGTGTGTCTCTTCTAGATGAACCTTCTCCTCCTTCTCTTCACCCTCATTTGAAAATACATTGTTAGCTTACTGTTGTATAGAAGAAGAAGAAGGAGAAATAGAAGAAATAACTGAGGAAGGAATCAAAAGAATGCTTTTGTTGTGCCTCAACTCCTCTCTTGTCCTGATACCAGTATTTGAACTAAGAATTGAAAACACCAGCAGCTGCATGCCTCTGCATTTGCAACATTGTTGCACTTTGTTGGGGCATTTGCAATTGAATGGCTGCCAAGACAATTGATTATCACAACTGGAACTGTTTTTTTTTTTTTTTTTGATATGACAGCTTTAGCTATCCATTGGTGATGGGGAGAATTTCCTTCGCATCTAATTTAATTAGGGTATCATCTGATGTCAAGGTAGCCATAGAAGAGATTTTTTTCAAGGACTACCAAAGCGGATTTTTTTTTTTAAAATATTTCTTCAAGCCATTTTTTTAGACCTGGATTTTTTAAAGAATATTTTTTCAAGGTCCCACTAAGACGTGGATTTTTTAAAAAATATTTTTTCAAGGTCCCACTATGGACCATATATTTTTTCCAGGACTACCAAAGGCGTGGATTTTTTTAAAGAATATTTTTCAAGGACTACCAAAGGCGTGGATTTTTTAAAGAATATTTTTTCAAGGATTACCAAAGGCGTGGATTTTTTAAAGAATATTTTTTCAAGGACTACCAAAGGCGTGGATTTTTTTAAGAATATTTTTCCAAGGACTACCAAAGGCTTGGATTTTTTTAAGAATATTTTTCCAAGGACTACCAAAGGCGTGAATTTTTTAAAGAATATTTTTCAAGGACTAGCAGAGGCGTGGATTTTTTAAAGAATATTTTTTCAAGGACTACCAAAGGCGTGGATTTTTTAAAGAATATTTTTTCAAGGACTACCAAAGGCGTGGATTTTTTAAAGAATATTTTTTCAAGGACTACCAAAGGCGTGGATTTTTTAAAGAATATTTTTTCAAGGACTACCAAAGGCGTGGATTTTTAAAAGAATATTTTTTCAAGGACTACCAAAGGCGTGGATTTTTAAAAGAATATTTTTTCAAGGACTACCAAAGGCGTGGATTTTTTAAAGAATATTTTTTCAAGGACTACCAAAGGCGTGGATTTTTTAAAGAATATTTTTTTAAGGACTACCAAAGGCGTGGATTTTTTAAAGAATATTTTTTTAAGGACTACCAATGGCGTGGATTTTTTAAAGAATATTTTTTTCAAGGACTACCAAAGGCGTGGATTTTTTAAAGAATATTTTTTTCAAGGACTACCAGAGACGTGGATTTTTTAAAGAATATTTTTTCAAGGACTACCAAAGGATATTTTTTTAAAAAATATTTCTTCAAGCTATTTTTCTTCAAGGCATGGATTTTTTAAAGAATATTTTTTCAAGGTCCCATTAAGACGTGGATTTTTTAAAAAATATTTTTTCAAGGACCAAAGGCGTGGATTTTTTAAAGGATATTTTTTCAAGGACTACCAAAGGCGTGGATTTTTTAAAGAATATCTTTTCAACGACTACACAAGGCGTGGATTTTTTAAAGAATATTTTTTCAACGACTACACAAGGCGTGGATTTTTTAAAGAATATTTTTTTAAGGACTACCAAAGGCGTGGATTTTTTAAAGAATATTTTTTTAAGGACTACCAATGATGTGGATTTTTTAAAGAATATTTTTTTTCAAGGACTACCAAAGGCGTGGATTTTTTAAAGAATATTTTTCCAAGGACTACCAGAGACGTGGATTTTTTAAAGAATATTTTTTCAAGGACTACCAAAGGCGTGGATTTTCTAAAGAATATTTTTTAAGGACTACCAAAGGCGTGGATTTTTTAAAGCATATTTTTTCCAGGACTACCAAAGGCGTGGATTTTTTTAAAGAATATTTTTTCAAGGACTACCAAAGGCGTGGATTTTTTAAAGAATATTTTTTCAAGGATTACCAAAGGCGTGGATTTTTTAAAGAATATTTTTTCAAGGACTACCAAAGGCGTGGATTTTTTAAAAGAATATTTTTTCAAGGACTACCAAAGGCGTGGATTTTTTAAAGAATATTTTTTCAAGGACTACCAAAGGCTTGGATTTTTTAAAGAATATTTTTTCAAGGACTACCAAAGGCGTGGATTTTTTAAAGATTATTTTTTCAAGGACTACCAGAACGAGCTAGAACTCCTAAATTTTAAATAAGTTTCAGTTTTTTGGACATTCGAACTACAAGTACTGAAATGTACTAAATTTGGTACAATTTCGTAGCATGTGAATGTATAGAGCTAAAAACTTGAAATTTGGAATGCGAATTAGGGTTGGGAAGTAGGGTCGATATAAGGAGTTGGTTTTTAAACCGTGCACTCATGTGTACGAAAAGTACTATATGATACTATATTTGGTACAAATTTAATTTGGAGGTACAAATCGAGCTTGAATCCTGAAAGTTGAAACTAACATTACCGTCGGAGTGTAGGATTAGGATATGTACGTAGTTTTGTAAATCTTTTACTTATGTATACGAAAAGTACTAAATCGTACTACAATTGGTACAATTTGGATTTGGGTGAACCGATAGAGCTGGAACAATGAAATTTGGAATTAGGATCATTGTAGGGATGTAGGATTAGAGTCAGGATTCAGTTTAGCAAATTAATACTTATGGGTACTAAATTGGGTACAATTTAATTTTTTTAGTGGACCGATGGAGCTTTAATCCTGAAATTTCAAGTTAGGATCAGTGTTGGGGTGTGAGATTGAGATATGTTGGCAGTTTTGGAAATTTGTACTAATGTGTACTAAATGTGGTACAATTCGAATTGTGTGTGAAGCGATGGAGTTGAAATCATGAAATATTGATTTAGGATCACTGTGGAGGTTTGGATTGGGGTATGTGCGAAGTTTTGGAAATTCGTACTACTGTGTACTAAATTTATTACAATTTGAATTGTGGTTGAACCGATAGAGTTGGAATCTTGAAACATGAATTAAACATCACTCTAAGGGGTGAAGGCTTGGGTTAAGTAGGAAGTTTTGGAAATTCGTACTACTGTGTACTAAATTTGGTACAATGAATCGATCGAGTTGGAATTAGGATCACTGTGAAATTTGTACAAATGTGGTACTATTTAAATTTTGGGTGAAGCGATAGAGTTGGAATCCTGACATTTGGAGTGTACTAAATTTGGTAAAATTTGAATTGTTGGTGAACCAATAGAGTTGGAATCCTGTCACTTGGATTTAGGATAACTGTATATGTGTTAGGATACATAGGGGAGAGGGGGCACCTTTGAACAGCGCTCTTAAAATCTCGGTTTAAATTTTTTCCGAACCGTAACCACATTTTTGTATATGACAATCTAGTTCTTTATCTGCGTAAACCACTTTTGCAGTGCCATTATATACTTCTAATTTTTTGGTTGTAAGGGCGCAGAGAGAATTCGGTGATCGTTTTCTTTCGTTAAACAATTTTTATGCATTCCAATAATAATTTCAAAAATAACTAAAGTATTTTTTTTAATAAAAAAATTCCGTTTTTGCAAAATAGTCAGGCTTAATCCCAGTTTGTTGTTTTTATAAAAAACAACTATTTATTAGTGGGGAATGTATGGCATTGTCCGCCGAGGGGTAAGGCAGGGAAGACTATAGTTTCGGATCTCGCCACTGATCCTCATCAGTTCCCTTAGTTTTTTGTTGGGATATTCTCCCCAGAAGCTATTAATAGCTTCTTTACAAAAAACCTTTCAAACCCAAATGTCTCTTGTGACAATTCGAAGTTCTTACGTTACCAGCGATACGACCCCAATGAGAAGTTCGTTTCGTTGGCGCCTGACTTCGTGGTCAACAAGGCATTTACCGACAACTACAATACATTTCCCACTGCTATGTGTCGTCACTTTGTGACGAATGCACATAACGTTGTTGTTGGTATTGCTAGTTAAAGCAATAAACCAAACAGTATGACCGTGCCTCGTCTACAACTTCAGTAGTGTTTGGCGGGTTATTTGGGATTTTTAAATATTAATTTTTAATTTAACAAAATAGGTGTGGATTTTTTTTAATCATATATTAATGCTAGTGGATTTAAAAGATATGTATTTATTTTTATTTCTAACGCTAAGCGAGCCGTCAGCTATAAATTTTTGGCCATTAATCTCTAAGGCAAAAACATTCCAGGAACTACCTAGTGACCAGTGCCATTATGCCCACTATTACATTGCTCATTAAATTCAATTTTAACAAGAAACGAAAAATGTTTATAGCTTTCTTGTTGCTGTTGTTGTTATAAATTTTACGAGCGTGTGTAAGCAAATTTAATTTTCTAACCCTGGAAATGCCTCCAGGAAAAACCATGACTCCCACATGTATGCCAGTCACATCATCATCAACATCATCACTGGACGTCAGTCCGTCAGTCAGTCCGTGTCACAGCCAGTAAAGTAATAGAAAATTATCTATGATTTGTTGTTTTTGTTCTTTTTCACTTATTGGAAATCTTCTTCGTCTTTATTAAACGCTGCTGCTGGTTCACTGACTATTGTTGTTGTTGCCGTTATCGTTCTTAGTAAGTTGCTGGTGGGTTGTTGTTGCCGCTGCTGTTGTTGATTTGCAATAATTGTTTACAACACATTTCACTATCAACAGCAGCAACAACAACAACAATACCAACTACACTATGATGTCTATGTCAAGTAAATTTTTGCAATAAATTTTCTTCAACTTCCCTCCTCCTCCT